TTGGATCTTAGGTCGCAAATGGACATATTAGATTAAGGATTTTCGATGGGAGTTACTTGATCTACAGCATTCTGCGACTGCAAAATTGCAATTCTGTAGAGGAATTTTAATTTTCTTAATGTATGTGGGCTCCATAACCAGTGGGGTATAGGAGGGAAGAACAGAGGGTCACCGCGACCCAATTCCCGTTACACGTTCTCCCACTTCCCTGTGTTTTCCCCCTTTTTCCCCCTTGCCTTCCGACTCGCCCTCCCCCCCCCCCCCCCCCCCCCCCCCCCCCCATTGTCCCATTGTATTATTATGGCTCCCGTCTTCAAGTTAATAAAAAGGATCAGAATCCTAGGATTTTGGTGAGCTGTGCCAAAATACATCAATCTTAACCATTCTCTGACATTGCATTTTTTCGGGGGAGGGGCGGTAAATTTCTCAAGATTAACATAATTACAAGCCGGTTCTTGACCATCGATTCTAACTTCTCACTAGGAAGAAGAAAGTTTCAGCCCACAGCCTCCCAGTCTCAAATGGGTAGTTACTTATATTTAGGAAACCCTAGTATACTAGTATAGTACTGAGAGAGGGGTGGGATGAAGTCTATAAGTACTGAGGGAGGGGTGGGAGACAGAGTGTTATTACTCAGGGATGGGTGAGAGACAGACTATTACTACGCTGGGAGGGGTGGGAGGTGCAGGTGGTTGCAATAGTAAACGCTACTTGTTAATAGAGCTTTTACTCGATCGTACAAAGTATTTTAATTGGCATTTCGACTGACTTTTTGTATGTCAAAATTTTTAGCGCTGGGCTGCGGCATTTCATTTTGCGAAAGAAAAAGTGCCTGGTAACACTAGCCCCTCCCTTAGTACTGATGTGTGCTTCTCTCCAATAAAATGGTCCAAAAAAATGGTCCGGAAAACGGTCCAAGAAATGGTCCAAAAAAAGGTCCTAAAATTAGTCCAGTCCATATTTTACCCAATGCCGTACAAAACTGCTAATTTGTAGATCAAAGTTACGTTCAAGATAACATCTAAATTTATTATCTTCTTTCCCGCTCACTTGGTTGTCGCTGAACGAGGAAATCGGCAATTTTTTAATTTCAATAAATTAGGTGATAAATAATCGAAAATTATTTGCTACTCGCAAATTTACTTTTCCGAAGTTATAGCCTATTTATATGGGCTAAATCATTTATCTTGTGAGATAAAGACTAATGGAAATGCTTTTGAAAAAAAGGGAAAAATATTACAATCAATTCATCATAAAGCTTTCTGCAGAGTCGACGCAAGACGCACACTCAGGCAAGAAAACTCGTGACTCACCTCAAAAAAAATTAGGTTTCTTGATTTCGAGAGTACCGTAACCTTAGGTTATGGGCGTTTTTGCCTAATAAAAACATGTCTTTCACCGTCTAGAAAGCCTCTACTTTGATGCTTCGGTTGTGTCAAGGTTGAAACCAAAGAAAGACAACATCAGGAGCCGGTATGTTATAAAACCAAAGTTATGCATTAAGTTGTCATATAATCATTCATTTATTTGAGAACACTTGAGAAAGATGGAAAAAAGCGCCAATGTGGCGGCCGTTTTTTTTTAAGACATCTCAAATTATACCAATTTGTACTCCTGGATGAGTTCATGTCAGTTTTA